TTTTCTCCAGCTGATGAACGATAAAAAATTGACAGCCAATCAGAATCCATCCTGCTGTAACGAGCTGGAGAATTTAAAGTGGCAGACGAGCGTGCGCTTAAAATAAACAGATGATATTGTTCACTGGTGTGGACGCTAATATCGTTATCCTTATAGTTATCGTTCTTGGTGTGAACGGGGCTTTAGAGTAAAGAGTTAAAGTTCTGGTGTTGAATTTTCAGTGATTAACACTAGCTAGCACCCTCTGGAATTACGGAGAATTAAACCTCATTAACCTCAAAAAACCTAAGGAATCATATGATCAGGATGTTAAAATATCACCTTTTTAGAGTAGACGTTGATTAGCGTGTCCCTCCAGGTTTGTCACTTGTTGCGGTTCCCTTAAACATTTCCGATGTGGTCTGTGTTTATTTGCAGCATGTTTCTGTATTTTGTTGGGTTGTGTGTATTTGCAGGAGAGGGTGACATGGGAGGGGATTTTCAAACCTCTCCCATCCCACTCCCACAAAAAAAATCCCGTCCCGTCCTAATCCCACGAAAAAACTTGGGGAAAATCCCATCCCGTCCCATTCCCAGAAGAATGACTCCCATTCCCTCCCACTCCCGTGTTGTGTTTTTTGGCCAGAATATGTCAGTTACAGTAAAAATACAGTACAGATCACAGCATGCCCACTTTAGTGGAATAAAAATCCAAAATGTAGTTTTTTGTTATTTTATTGAACTGAAAGCCAGCTTAAACAATGCACAGTGTGCATTGCACACACATTAAATTTCATGTTTCTTTATTAAATTTCACTCTCTGTAGATATATTTTTCATACACAGAGATTTGAAGTTTCTCGTTCAAGTTCACATGACCGAGATAGCAGAAAGCGCATCCTGTTTGTAGAGTCTTTACAGATTCAAAATATTTTTATCTGTATGACCAAAAATTACAGAGTATTTTAAGAGCAAGTGAGTGCACCGGCGCCTCCATCTGTCCTGCAGTGAGCGCTACTGTTCAGTTTACACACAAACACTTGAATAGCGCACATTTCTCTAGGTTAACATTAGATTGAGCAGCCATGTAAAGTTGTTACTACATATATCTTTCAGATGAAAAGCCATATTTGAGGTCGATGAATGATAGGTGGGCATTTGGATTTCCTGCCCGGTGTACTGTATTACCACACAGACCAACCGTTATTGATCTGTCCTTCACTGAGCAAAAATGAGGGAGTATTTTAAGAGCAAGTGAGTGCACCGGCGCCTCCATCTGTCATGCAGTGAGCACGCAACAGCTTCCACACTCTGCACAGACACTTGAACAGCGCACATTTCTCTAGGTTAACATTAGATTGAGCAACCATGTAAAGTTGTTACTACATACATCTTTCAGATGAAAAGCCATATTTGAGGTCGATGAATGATAGGTGGGCATTTGGATTTCCTGCCCGGTGTACTGTATTACCACACAGACCAACCGTTATTGATCTGTCCTTCCTGTTCCTGTCCTCGTTATCCCATTATTAGTTGATTCC